TCTTTTTCTCTCTCATTTTCTGGCACCCCTATACTTTGGATGTTGGTATGCTTGAAGTTGTCCCAGAGGCTTCTTACACTATCTTCGTATTTTTGGATTCTTTTTTCCTTTTGCTTGTCCGGTTGGGTGTTTTTTTGCTTCTTTGTATTTCAAATCTGTGCCTTGGTTCTTGGGATCCTCTAGCCTGCTGTTGGATCTCTGTATATCATTCTTTTTTTTTTATTGTTCAGATTATTACAGTTGTTCCTTTTTTTCCTCCTATAGCTCCCCTCCACCCAGTTCTCGCAGGGGGCGTTGCAGCCTCGCTGGGGCCGTCGCAGCCTCATGCAGCCTCTCAGGGGGTGTCGCAGCCTCGCAGGGGCTGTCGCAGCCTCACACAGCCTCGCAGGGGCCATCGCAGCCTCACACAGCCTCTCAGGGGCCATCGCAGCCTCACAGGGAGCACCACAACTCATGTTGGGGGTGAAGGTGCGAGACAGAAGCTCCCCTCACTGTCTCTCCTGCTGCTCCCTTGTGTATCGCCAATGCTGGAAGTTTCTGAGACCAGTCTGCACGTGCTGGACATCATACTTTAACTGGTCAACACAAAGTTTGGCATTCTGTCTTTTGTTGGGAGGTTCCTTGCTGGACAAAATCTCCCAGGTGTTCTAGCTGGCTGAATATCTGGTATGCTTGCTTGGATTTCGTTTTCTACTAAGTGCACAGACTGCTTGTCTGCCTTCTCCCGGTGTCCCATGTGAGACTGGATCTGGTGGACCTGCTTCTGCGTTTGCTGGTACAGCAGTTCCATGTCGCCAGCCCAGCCGGGTCCGGCTCCGGCTTCTTCCGAACCTGAGTCTGCTTCTTGAGTGTGTCCCTTATGGATGCGAGGAGTTGAAATCAGCAGTTTGTTGGGTTAGGCTGCAAAAGCACAGGTGGTTCCTTTTGTGCCACTGGCACAGCTTGGGTGGGGATGTAAATTGAGTAGGGCGGGGTCTCAGAGCATCACCAGGGCAGAGCAAACAGCAATGGCTGTCATCAGCATCTCCGTGACTCCTCGCCTCTCCATGAGTCCACATCCCCGAGTCCCCAAGTGCCGTGCCCCCACAGCAACAATGATCCCTGTGAGCAGCTCCATGAGAAAGCCACCCTCTTTTAATAATAATAAAAAAAAATGCCACCCTCGCTCTCCAGCCTGCTGTAAGACAGTCCAGCCTCTCCCCATAGGGGTCTGGGACCTCAGAATCCCACCCCAAACAGGCTCAGTGGATTCGAGAGCTTGTATCCCCTTCCGATTGAAAAAACCACGCATCCAGTTGCAGCCCGCCTGGCGCACGCCTCCGTACCTCTGTTCTTGGCACCTCTGCACCTCCTGCTCAGTCTCAATGTGCTTCTTTCTTTCCTTCCAGTTGTAGAACTTCCACTGGGCCAGCTTTCCTGTGGTTCTGGATGACAGCTGCTTTGTCTTATAGTTGGTAGTTTCAATGTTGTTGTGGGAGGCAGCACGCACAGGTCTATACCTTATGCCGCCATCTTGGTTCCTCCTGTATATTATTCTTTATTTCAGTCAGTGTATGCTTAATTTCTAATTGGTCCTTTTTCATATACTTGAGGGTCTCACTATATTTGTCAGAGGTTACTAGAAGATTCTTGAGTAGCCTTATAACCATGATTTTGAACTCTATACCCAGTAGTTTGCTTTTTCCCATTTCTTTCATTTGTGACCTGTTTCTTTCTCTCTGCATTTTGGCTGCTTCCCTGTGTTGATAGAGTGGCTTTGTATGCTAGGTGTCCTATAGGGTCCAGTGGCTCAGCCTCCCCAATTACCTGAGGTGGACACTCTTGGTGCACCCCTTTGTGGGCTGTGTGCACAGTCTTGTTGTAGTTAAGCCTTGATTGCTGTTGGTATCACTGATAGGAATTGACCTCCAGGTCAATGTGTCTACAATGGGAGAACTTCTGTGCTGGAGACACCCTTATGGGGCAGGACTTGCTTCAGTGGGGCTTTGGTGCTCACTGAGTCTGCCCCCTGAGTGTGTCTCTTATGGATGTGAAGAGTTGTAATCTGGATGGTCTCACTCTGACCACTGGGTAGACTGGCTCTTGGATCTCCAAGGGGGTGCAAAGTCACCTACTGCCTGAGGCCACCCAGCAGAAGCTACAGAGAGATCTGCAGATTCCTTCTCTTTGTTTGGGGTTTGGAGGTGCCCAGATGAGGTGCAGCTGTGAAGTAATGCAGACTGCTGACGAGCCTAAGGCCTTCTTTTGGAACCTCTGGGTTTCTCACACCCAGCTGCAGTTTGAAAGGTTTTTAGGCAGGGAAAGGCCAGGCCTTTAGTATGCAAAGCCTCTGTGCACAGCTGGGGTGGGGTTGTAAATTGGGTGGGGCATGGTCTCAGGGAGTCACAGGGCAAACAGCAATGGTTGCCTTCGGCCCTCCCCCATAGGTCCCTGGGTCTCTATGTCCCTTGCCCTGTGCAGGAACAATGGATGCTGCAAGCACCTCTGCAAGAAATCAGCCCTCACATTCCAGCCTGATGCCAGACAGTACAGTTTCTCTCCGTATAAATCCAGATTCTTGCCCAGAACTGGATTTCAGAGCAGTTGGGAGCTTGTATCTCCTTCCCGGTTGAAAAAGACAACAGCATAATTGCTGCCAGCCCCTTTCGCATGCGCCTCTGTACCTCCACACTTCCACAGCCCTGCACCTCCTACCGGACTCAATGTGCTTTTCTCTTTCCTTCTGGTTGTAGAATTTCCACTCAGTCAGCCTTCCCGTGGCTCTGGATGGTATTCATTTTGTCTTTTAGTTGTAGTGTTTTAATGTAGTTGTACATGGCAGCTAGTTCAGGTGTTTACCTATGCTGCCATCTTGTTTGTCTCTTCATAGAAGTTATTAATGAAATACTTGACATTGCTTTTATGTACTAAACTAGAAGCCCAATGCACAAAATTTGTGCAAGGGGCTTGGCCCTTACAGCCGTGGCAGCTTGCCTTGGCCCTCGCAGCCATAACTGCTTGCCTCTCCCCTTGCAGCCCCAGCTTTGTCTGGAAGGTCCTCTGGAAGGACATCTGGAAGGTCATTCAGCTGTCTGGTTAATTAGCATAGTCTGCCTTTATTATTATAGATTAGTGGCCTGGTGCACAAATTTGTGCACATTGAAAGGGAATCAATTAGAAGAAATATTTTAATATCACTATTTGCCAATTCCTGGGTGCGGGTATCCAGCTCCCTCCTCTCTCCTGTCAGAGTCTGTGATGGTGCCCGCAGGTACGCTGCGTCAAAGCCGGCACCCTGTGGGGCCAGTGCCCCAGGGGACACCGGGCTGGTGAATGGGATAAGAGTGGTGGCCTGGCTCTAAGAAAACCGTCCTGGACCTCCCTGGGTTACCTCTGGGTTCCCCTGTGAAAAGGGCCAGAGGAGTCGGGCCCCTGAGTGCGGGGCCAGCAGCAGCAGCGCACATTCTGTTGGGCTCCATCGTCAGGAAGTGAGGTCACTGCTCTTGTCAGGAAATGAAATCACTGCTCTTGTGTAAGGAGAAGCTCAGGGTAGGGGACCAGGCAGTGACCAGGGAGGTTTTCTGTCATGTTCATACCCCAGGTCAAGGCTGGAGAGTGGACATGGAGTGTGGGCAGTTCCCGCTACCCCAGGTTTATCCCGACACTGGAGCTGAATCTCATTTCCCCCCCGCCGGGGTGGAGGTGAAGTGGGGGTGGTGCCCTTTCCCCTGATGTTTAGCCTGTGGGGCTGGCGCTCTGCGGGGCTGAGGGACTCCCCCAAGTCCCGGAGTCCCAGAGCCCTACAGGGCAACTCCCCCGAGTCCCAGAGTCCCGCAGCCCCATGGGGGACTCCCCCAAGTCCTGGAGTCCCACAGCCCCCGTGGGCCACTCCCATGAGTCCCAGAGTCCCGCCCCGTGGTTGGGCCCCACGGGATTCCGCCCCCCACCCATGCACCTCCTGGTCAACTTCCCTCCAGTACCCTTGCACATGCAGCGTCAAGCCCCGCCCCACCCACCTGCGCGCACCTGTGTGCATGCAGCCATCTTGTGATGGCACGAGGGCATCATGGTATGATGGCATGAGGACCACCTAGGCTTTTATTAGTAAGACTAGCGGCCTGATGCATGAAATTCATGCAAGGGGCTTGGCCCTCGCAGCTGTGGTGGCTTGCCTCAGCCCTCACAGCCCCGGCTTCATCTGGAAGGTCGTCTGGAAGGATGTCTGGAAGGTTGTTCAGCTGTTCGGTCTAACTAGCATATTATGCTTTTATTATTATAGATATTTGGAATCTGGCATGTATTTTACATTTATGGCACATCTGAATTTGGACCAACCATAT